CTTCTTTGTGAGATTCGGTCGCACGGGGAAGTGGAGAGATTGCCATTTCAACCGCCTCTTGATAGACGGGACTGACAGAGTTCTTCGGTTGCAGGACTGAGCGCTGCGAGCGCCGGCGTCGCAACACGACGAGCACCACTGCAAGTATCAAAATCACTGCAACAGAAGCGACAGCAGCAGCGATGGCAGCTGTTGAAGATGAGGCTTGGGCGTCACCACCGAGTTGTGCAATGGAGGATGCAACAGATGCCGCAGATGCCGAGGCGGTCGACGCTGCAGACGCAAAGGAAGCGACTGCGGCAGCTGAAGCAGACTGCGTGGACGCGACGGAGGCTTCAGATGCGATGGATGCCATTGTCGCAGCTGTCGCAACCGAAGCAACCGAGGCGGAGGCTGTTGAGGCAACCGAGGCGGAGGCTGTTGAGGCGGCAGAAGCAATGGAGGCGGAGGCAGTTGAAGCAGCAGAAGCAATGGAGGCAACCGAGGCAGATTGCGTGGACGCGACGGAAGCTATGGTAGCTAGAGGAACGCATGATCCACTCATCATGCCATAGCCTGCATAGCACTGGGTGCACGCTGTGGAGGAAGTACAGATCAGACAATTGCTCGGGCAGCACACAGCGGAACCAGAGCCATAACAGGTCGCACAAGCTGTATCACACTCTGCAGTGCAAATTGTACAAGTGTCAGTGAACCAGCCACATGGGAATGGTAGTCATGGCCCAAACTCACTGTATGGTTCCGATGCACTGCCGTATGTGCTGGGCGGTGCGACAGTGTTCCCACCAAAGGTAAAGTTGTTGGGGTTCAGCGATACGGGGGCATCCCCTGACAAATCCAAGCCATTTGGCAAGCCTTTAAACAGCCCAGGCGGCAGAGTGGTTATGGGGTTGCTTTCCAAAGCCCTGCAAGGATCGCAAAGTAAGATGCAAATCCAACACGCGCATTCAACAGTGCGGGCCTACAGGAGAGTTAGCGCAGTCATGCCTGCGAAAGCGCTGGCAGAGATGGTGGTGATTCGGTTCTGACTCAGAAATCTAAAGACAGAGGCACAAGCAAGTGAGGCCATTTGGTTTGTGGGCGGTTCTTTCTGGCGTTGCTTGCTTACAAGTTTTTCAACGCGGTGAGGCTTGCAAAGGTGTTGTCGGGAATACTGGTGATCTGGTTGACGCCCAAATGCCTTCAGATAGAGTCGCAAACAAGTGAGCCGTATGTCAGTGATTCTTCATGACTTGCTTGCTTACAACTGTGTCAGCAAAGAAAGGCCTATGAATACGTTGGCAGAGATGCTGATGATTTTGTTATCCCAGATATCCCTACAAATCCAGTTGTAAACGCGTGAGCTGTTTGTGTGTGGTTCCTTATGTCTTTGCGTACTTACAATTGGTTCATCATGGTGAGCCCTGTGAATGCATTAGCAGAAATGCTAGTGATCTGATTGCTGTAGAGAAACCTACAGATAGAGTAGCAAGTGAGGAGTGAGCTGGCTGTGCGCCGGTCTGCATCGCTCTGTTTTGTTTACAATTTGTTCAACACGGCGAGGCCCGTGAATGCGTTAGCAGAAATGCTCGTGATCTGGTTCATGTAGAGATACCTAGACACGGAGTAGCAACCAAGTGAGCTTGTTTGTTGTTTGCGGGGTTCTTCATGACTTGCTTGCTTACAAGTTCTGCAGCGCAGGCGTGCCTGCGAATGCGTTGTCGGGAATGCTGGTGATCGGGTTGATGCTCAGATGCCTGCAGATAGAGTCGCAAACAAGTGAGCCGTCTGTACGTGATGCTTCTCATGACTTTGCTTGCTTACAAGTGTGTCAGTGAACTCAGGTCGGTAAATGCGCTCGCAGAAAAGCTGGAAATCTCGTTGCTGTATAGATCCCTGCAGAGCGTGTGACAACCGAGTGAGCCACTTCTTTTTGGTCGTGTGACACTTTATGCCTTTTGCTGGCTTACAAAAATCTCAACGCGGTGAGGCCTGCGAATGCGTTGGCAGAAATGCTGGTGATCTGGTTGCTGAATAGCTGCCTACAGATGCCGTAGAGTCGCGGAAGAGATTGAGCTGTTTGTGCATGTTACCGCATTGCTTCTGCTTATCGTATGCTTACAATTGCGTCAGTGTAGTGAGGCCTGTGAATGCGTTCGCAGAAATGCTGGTGATCTGGTTGTTGTTCAGAAAGCTGTCGGCAGCGTTGCCAAAATCAGCGGGGGGGGGGCAATTCAAGTTCAACTCTGCAGCAAACGCTTACAGCGTTCTTGTGGAGATTGGGATTCCGCTTGGAATAGCCGTGAGAGATTTGCCATTGCAATCGACGGACACAGGTCCACAAATGCAGACGCCACCAGTGCCGCAGGCATTGACCGCGTGCGCCAGGTCGGAGTGGTTTATCGCGCAAAAGATCACAAGCAGCAGCCAAAGGGAAATCCTTTTGGTGTCATGTTGAGAATAGGAGTGCTGTGGATCTTGAGAACACGAGTGCTGGAGGATCTGAGACGGGCATGATGAAACAGAGTGAGCGTTCATCGACGCCCGCGAGCTGGTGGGCTCATCAAACTGTTCCTGAGAACTTTGGGGCCCAGACTTCCAGGCACTCCCCCTGCTCGCGATGCCGACTCTGCACTGAGCCTGCAAACGAAGCGATCCACCCGCGTCCTGCATCGTGGATTGCTCCTTGGGAGTGATGATGGTTACCTTTCTCGTTGGCGAACGATAAGAAGAAGAAAAAAAATAACAATAAAAACAATAAATAATACAAAAACAAAAATGAACAAAATGATTTTTCAAAACACACACACACACTCACTCACTCACTCACACACACACACACTCACTCACTCACTCACTCACTCACAAAGACATCTCACCTTGAAGCCAAACGCCAAAGTATGATCCAAGTCTTCTGTTTTGTGGCGTTTTGCGACTCCACGAAATTGAAGGGTGTTTTGCCACCGGCGCGTCTTGTGTGCCGGGCAGCGTCGAGTCTCATCCCTCCAGAGTCGGGATTCAATGCGTGGCTCACGGTCGAGCTGGTCTCTCACCCGAAATCCCCGCCGGTGTGTCAAGCGATCAAGACGCGACCGAAAGTCGACTCAAGTCAAGCAGCCAGCCGCGTGGAGATCTCGCATTTAACTGTTATAGTGTTAAAGCTGTAGTTGTTACGAAATACACATCAGTTTGAAAAAAAAAAAAAAAAAAAAAAAAAAAAAAAAAAAAAAAAAAAAAGGCACCTTCTCGACCGTTCGTTCGGCTTGGGGTTCTTTTTTCTTTTTTGCCTTTCCCTTTTCCTTTTCCTTTTCCTTTTCCTTTTCCTTTTCCCCCCCCCCCTGTGCGACACCCGGCACGCCATTCATCCTACTTTTATTAGACCTGCACAGGAGGCGTCACTGTATGGCAAATGCTCGAGATACCTCCCTTACTCCCTTGCTCCCTTCAATGCACTGTTCGACTAAAATAAAACCATCAAACTGAAACCCCAGTCTTTCTGCATCTGTCGAATATTCAACTGCATCCAGCGAGCCCGTTCTTCTTGCCCACTGCAATGAACTACCGGCACATTCTCGTCGTGCTGGTGGTGTTTCTCATTGTGTTTGAGGGAGGTTATTTGATCTACTCGCAACACGGCGGGACATCGAGCTCGGAGGGCGAACGCTCGCCCGAAGCCGACATCCCACGCGCTCAGCTTCCGCTCAGCACCAGTCTCAAGCGCTGCATGGATATTGAAACACACATTCGCGTACTTGAAACCACGTTTGCGTCATCTCAAGCCATCGCTGCGGCGATTCATGCCGCGACTGCCCTCAAGAAGACCGAAGCCCTGACCGCGTTAGTGGCCGCCCAGCAGGCTCAACTGGAAGGCGCTTTGCAAGACGCTGGTCGCATCAAGCTGGAGCTGCAGCAGCAGACCGCTGAAGCCGAGCAGCGGGCGACCCTGCCGGACTCCAGCCGGCCAACCCCTACCTGCCCTACCTGCCCGGTCTGCCAGACCTGCCCTACCCCGGTCTGCCAGACCTGCCCTACCTCTATCTGCCAGACTTGCCCTACCTCTATCTGCCAGACTTGCCCTACCTCTATCTGCCAGACTTGCCCTACCTGCCAGACTTGCCCTACCTGCCAGATCTGCCCCATCTGCCCTGATGCCGTCTCCCTAACAACACAAGACCCTTTGCTCGACCCCGAGGTACTCTACGGCACCCTAGACTCGTTGAGCGATGACGAGGTAAATCGCTTGGGAACGGTGACAGACCGACCTCGCGATACTCGCTGCAGCGCACGGTACGGACGCCCAGACGTGGCAATCGAGTCGGAAGTGCTGTGTGTCAACAGCGTCTTTTATCCGCACGCTCGTGGTCGCAGCGGTGTTCGCACAGACTCTCGGCCACGTCCTCATGGCGAGCCGGTCGTTCCATCTCGTTGGGACTATGTCGAAAGCAAGGACAGGATGCGCGAGCGCTTTGTGGCCCGCGCACACGAACTGTCCATCCCCAATCCGCCAGCGCCCTTTCGAACCATGTCGCAGATGATGTGCGATCCGTTCGTCGCTCGCCCACCGCGTGTCGCGTTCATTGTGACGGGTGCCTTCCGCGCGTTCTTTCAACCGCTCGTCCACCAGTCTTTGCGCCACTATGTGATGGACACCTTTGGTGGAGTGAGCACCGCCTTCTTCTTGTTGAAAGACTTTGATGTCAGTCCCTTCTCGTCGGACGTCGTCCCACCCACCGAGGAGAATCTGCACGCGGTGCTCAAGCAGTTTGCCAACAGCGGTATTACCATCGGTTCGGTACGCATCTATCTCCAGTCAGAATCTGACGTCGAGGCGATGCGGGCGGCACACCAGGCCCGCAATGCACGAAACGAGCTTCCCAAGTATCGCCTTGTTGTCGAGAAGACGCCACCACTGATTTTGAGTACAAAGTGCAAATTCGCGCCGTTTTCCTGGCTGGCCGATCCAATCAATCTGCCGCGCTTTGTGGGACAGTTCACAGACATTCACGATTGCTACCATATGGCGCTAGATTACGAACTTGAAACAAACCAAAAGTTTGACTGGTTTGTGCGGGTGCGCTCTGATACAGTGTTCTTCATGCCGATCGAGCCGTTCTGTCGCTACACACGATACGGGATTCATGTGCCGTGGGAGGTGGATCAATTCGTACTTGCGCCACGAGAGTTTGCGAGTGCCTTTTTCGACCTCATCGACCACCGATATTGGAATTGCACCTTCCCGGACGGCTTCATTAACGAGGTGGACTCGGAGACAGTGACAATGAACTCCTTCACAGATCACCAACTCCAGGTGCACATGCATTACTCGTTCGTCTTTGGCGTAATGCGACGCACCGGTGCTGGCACCATGCAAGTGTTTTACGAGGCGGACGAGTACCACAGCAGTGCGCCGCCTGTCCTTGCCAGCGCCGTTGTTGAAGCTTTGCGTGCCTATGTATAGTTGTTATTTTTGCTTGCCGCGCGCTCCCCTCAGTAAAAGTGCTGTGCAGCTTCCACTTTCAATCATTGTTGCCGTTTTCCACCCGACTCAGCTCACTGCGATCGTACAAGAAGTATACTGCACAAATGAAACACTCAATCAGGTAAAGCATCACTCCACCTACTCAAAGCAAGCAAAAGTTCAAAGTCCAAAAAGCGTCGTGCTCCGCGGGAACGAAATCTAGACATTGCCGGCGCAAGCCGGCATGGAAAGGATGGCGCCCGAATCTCGAACAAGGTGAAAGGGAGTCTCGAGCCAGTACAGACGCACTTTCAAAAATTGAAGTAACAAGCGTAAGTCGACCTCCGGGTAGGATTGGATGGCATAGCTGGCTGAGTTGGAAGTGCACCAGTCAACAATATCAACCGTGGCCAGCCTATCAAAGACTTGGCGCGTGGTGAGATAGAGGATGTCAGATATAGCTTCGGATCGCCATTTGCCTTCGTCATGATGGCAGCTGCCGAAAAAGCTGTACGGGTTGTCGACAATCGACTTGGCAATTGTGGCAAGTCTGGCAGACTCAAAGGATTGAATCACAACGTCGGGTCGTGAATGTAAAATGAATGCGTTCTGCGGCATGGCCACACCGCCTGAAATCCTTCGAACAAGGTCGCGTGCGAGAAGGTGGGTTGCCTGCAGGCTGTAGTAGTAAGAGGGCAACACCACGGGGTTGTTCTGGTTTGGAAAGAAAACTGGTAGCGTTGACAATCGGCCACTGCTCTTGGCTAAATCGCCATCCTCAATCATGATGACTGCATGCTGCATGAATGGATAGTTGAGATGCGCAAGAGCTTCCTCAGAGCTCTGCTTTGCGCGGTCGGGATTAGGATTGCGCCACCATACCCCATCCCCATGGTCTGTGGTCGACCAAGTATGCTGAACAATGACATAAGGCCTCTCGAGCGAATCAACAAACCGCTGAAGCTCAGGTGCCGTCTGTACAAACGTTCGCAAGTGACCAGTGAGGTACAAGAAGATGGGCGGCGATTTGAGGTCAAGGATGTGCGAAGTGTTTGCGCTCATCAACGCAGCGTCCAGTGAGTCTGATCCGGGAGAGCCAAAGGCCATGTACCGAACGCCCTGGATTGCACTGAACTTGGTTTCTGCGAGATTGTTAAAAAACCGAAACTTGGGAGTCCCGTCATCTGCGGCCTCCTCTTCCTGAGGTGAGACAACTGTAGTGGAGGGCTCTGCCTGAGGTGAGAGAGTTGCTTGGGTCGCCTCTTCCGGATGATCAATGGTATCTGTCTCAGAAGCTTGCTCAGGCGGTGTGTTTACGTCGACGGTCTCGGCAGTGGGGTCCAAGAGGCCCTGGGTTGGGAGAAGATCGGGTGATACGTCGACAGTCTCGGCAGTGGGGTCCAAGAGGCCCTGGGTTGGGAGAGGATCGGGTGAAGGTCCGTCAATCGCAGTGTTGCAGTTCAACGTAACAACGAGAGTAACGCGGTGCGCCGCTTCGAGGAGGTTCGCAGCCTCCGCCTCAGCAAAGAGACTCGGCTCTGAGATGCGGAACCTTTCGGGAAGACAGAGCACTAGCAGTCCCAGACCCACCAGAAGTGCAAACATCTTGAGCATTCGTTGGCGGCTTGAAAGGTTTGTGATGAGCATGCGTATTCGGAGGCGCACGCCTGAGTCGCCATGTCCAACCTCGAACGACTTGTAGCCTCTTTCGAAATCGGTACTGAGATCTCCTGTGCATGAATATTTTTGCCTTAGTTTTCACGTTCCAGCCGAGTCGCGAGGGAAGCAAGCATCATTGCCAGCACCAGCGCGTTGAGACTACTTCATTTCCCCCACCCCCCCTCCACTTCTCCTAGCCGCCTGTCACGCAGACCACGCCCCGTTCCCACACGTCCCTTCTTTTGTCATTTCAATTGCTCTGTGTCGCACCCACCGACTCCGCTGCTTCCACGCAAGCAATCGCACTTCTCGCCAACAACGAACCGTTCCAGCAAAACCGCCAACTTCCATCACACAACTCAGACCCAAGCGTTTCGGAGGCGTGGCCAACAACAATGAGTTAGTTCTTTGTACTTTGATTCCGGTGCAAGTCCCGCTGCTGCATTTGGTTTGTTTGGATGTCGAAGAGATTCCAGAAGGAAAGAAAAGAAGTTTTAAAAAATAATCAAAAAAAAAAAAAAAAAAAAAAAAAAAAAAGGACTGCGTGGTGGAACCCAACAGCATGATGAGCACCAGAGTCTTGCACTACATCGCGGAGAACCCGCTGTTACGGGTGAGACCTCCTGGGTCTAACCCACTCTTGGTATTTTGTATTAAATACAAGAATCCCATCTCATCTCTTCCATAACCGCTCATAGAGCTAGTCTCCCCACTTTCTCCGGACGAGCACTATGAGCTGAAACTACACTTTCTCATCCTCCTCCAATCGCGGGTATCTCGATTGGATAATATGTCATAATATCTCAGAATACTACAAGTCGAGAAAAGAAGCACGAAAGACCGCGAAAAGACACGCAAACGGTGAGCACAAACTCACTCGTTTCGTGTTATCGCCTGTCCTGTCGCTGCATTGGCCTCTTTTGCCCCGCTCGTTGCTTTGAATAATACTGGATTAAGTGGTCGTCCTAACGCCATGTTGTACTCTGGTGTGCGGGGCGCGGTTTCTGTCATTTTCAAGCGAGCATTCGCGAAAAATGAAGTTGGCCGCAGGCGTTCTTAGGACACTATGTTTTCATGTTGTTACTGCCACTGGACTGGAATTGCTGCGACATTCTTTGAGTAGAACTACCCGACAATGAATGCGCTAATCACCACCCTTCACAATTTTTATCGCAGGCCGGTATCAAGCTCGCGGAAGCGACACCCATCGCGACAAACAACGCGACAACCGATCAACGCTCGTTTTTCAGCGCACACCGCACGCTTGACGTCAGCGTTCACTTGTATTACACTTGAATGATTTTTGACACGCATTGGTGTGCAGCGAGGACCGAGTGCCGCAAGACTACCAGCGGTACAAGTAAGGGAAGTGACCGATTTGAGCTCACTTCTGTTTTTACGTCTCAAGATTGGCGTGGCTGTAACTGCACCCAGTGCGCAGCCGCCGTTGAAGCGGATCCATGACTGGTTGCAAGCATAGCTGACGCTACAGACAGACGTCGCCATCGCAAGCGTGGTCTGCCCGCTGACAAGAGGCTGGAACTGCACCAAGTTGGCCATTCCCAGAGCTGCTTCCAACTCCAAAGCACTTCATCATGATTCCATGGCATTTGAATACGTGTGAATAGTGTATCAATTGTATTTGTAGCGAGAATGAGAGATATCTTGAGTGAAGAATTGGTGCACTGGTGCAGTCATTGAGTGGTCGCTGCGAAGTTGTGTCAACAGCGCTTTCCTGCGTCTGTGCGACCGTCCCCGACCGCCTCCGCCTCAGAAACAAAGTGTCACAACTGTATCACGTCACTGGACATGCAAAGGCGCGCGTTGATATGGCCTGGGGAGCAGTAGCAAGGAGGAGCGCCAATCGCAATGGACCGCCAGCCAATTCCCCTCCTCATCGTTTCGCGTTCCAGGACAGTCCCCGCCGTCCAATTTCCACAACTATGCACTGCAAACAACATATATTGCATACTACGCTTGAAAGAAACAAGCCAAACTCAAGCATTCGCAAGTTGAAAAACACCGAATTTTTGAACAAATTCGGTCGTTCCGAAATTCGGAAAAAAATTTCCACTGTGTTGCTATGTGTAGTATCACACTATGCAGGTTGGCATGTTGTGATGCCGAAAACTAGTGAGAAAGAGAGGGTACGGTATTGTTTTTGCATGAACAAGATCGACCGAGCTCTTGCGGCACCCTGGTGAGGCAAATTAGCCACTCGCTTTAGCAGTTGTGTTGGCAGTAATATTTTCAGTTGATCTTTGAAAGAACTGGCTCAAAATGAGGGCGTGCCAGCGTGCGGTCGAGCCGTGCGCGAGCTAGTTTGGCACTCTGGGGTAGCGATCAAGTGCATCACGCTCATGAGCACGACTTTTTTTCTTTTTTTTTTCAAACCGATGTGTATTTCGTAAAACTACAGCTTTAACACCATAATACCGGTGGTAAAACACCCTTCAATTTCGTGGAGTCGCAAAACACCACAAAAAAGAAGACTCGGCACGACTCAGCTAAAGACCAAAGCGCATCACCTTGTGGCATCACGACACACTTGTGATGCATTTCTGAGCGCTTTCAGATTTGGTCCTGCTGAAAACAAGCAAAGAAGTCAGTCAGGTTCGGGTCGCTTTTGGCATCAACTTCTGATTGTACCCGCTTGGCTCGTTTTCCCTCTCGTCCCACCACCGCTTTCCGCCCCACCCGCCTGCCCACCATCCGATGGCTAGTCTAGTAGTGCAGTCAAACCGACCGTTAGACCCTGCGAACGGCGCGGGCAATGACAGTAGCCATCGAGTCGACGCTGCTGCACAGGATTCAGTGACAAATACGCCCCGCGCAGCCCAGCAGCAGCAGCACCAGCAGCAGCCAGATGGCCCACACTCTACTCAACACGATGGTCTGACCTCTCGGAACCAAGACCAGGGCACTCCAACCGGCAGTGAGCCAAGCCGGGCAAATTCGCACGAGCCATCCGCTGCTACTCCGTCTGCTTCAAACCGCAGCAGCAGCAGCAGCAGCAGCGACCAACTGGCCGTTGCGTCCACAGATCGAGCTCAGATGCCATCCACTATGCCAGGCGACAGCCCGAGCAACAGCTCAGGGAGCGCATCCAAGCTGAAGCCAGAACCGCCCGTAGCAGGAGGGCGAAGAACCACAGGCGCAACCATCCAACCAGCCACAGCTCAAGATCAGCAGGAGCAGGAGCAGGAGCAGCAGGAGGAGGAGGAGGAGGAGGAGGAGGAAGACGACACCACCAAGATGACGGGCCGCGAGATGCTACAAGGACTTGTGCGGAATTACCAGCACAATCTGCAGCTCTTGGACGAGCGCGATGCAGAACTGCGCGAATACGACACGCTGGTGGAGCGGCTCGAGAGCGCGATTGTTGAGCGCGAGGCTCGCGTCGCCAAGCTGGTTGCGCAGGCTGCTGATGCACGGAGACAGCTCACGGCGACAGAGCAACTTGCTCGATCGTCTGCCGATGAGCTCGAGGCCGCGCACGAAATTCAGCGGCAGCTGGAACGTTGCGTCAAGTCGCTCGAAGTGGATTTGCAATTTGTACAGGCCGAATTTGCGCAAAAGATGAGCGGAGTGCAAGAAGCCATGGAGCTGCAGCGTCGAGAGTATGTCGACGAGCTCGAAGAGGCGCTGCAGCAAAAGCAGGACGAAATGACCGAGTTTGAAGAGCACGCCGCCGAGCTCGAGGAGACGGTGCGCAAGCTCAACGCAGACTTTACGCACGCCACAGCACGCGCTCGCGAAATGGAAGAGCTTGCTGGAGCAGCCATCAGCGAGGCAGATACGCAGCGGAGAAACGTCCAGCAGCTTCAAATGCAGCTCACGCAGCAACACCAAGATCTCGAGCAGCAGCTTCAAGCAAATTTGCAGCAGCAAGCCCAACAACTGCAGCTCCAGCACCAGTCTCAGCTCGTCCAGCTCCACTCACAGGCTGCAGCGAGTGCCAGCCACACGGAGCATCTCGTCCAGCAGCTTCAGCAGTACCAAAGCCTTCAGAATACGCTCAACACACGGAATCTAGAGCAGCAGCAGCTCATCCACCAGCAACAAAGCATCATACAACAGCTGCAGCACGAGCTGGAGCAAGCCCAGCGCGCGACCACCCCTCCGACAGCCACGCACGCATCTGTTTCGGCAAACTCTGTCTTCTCCAATCTGATGCTTGCGAGCGGCGGACTTGCGTTTAGCAGTTCGAGCGGAGCGTCGCCCACGCGCACCTCAAGCAACCCCAATAGCAACCGAAACTCGACCTTGCTCGATCGTGACACTTCCTCGCCCACTCCATTGGCCGCGGTTTTGTCAAAGTCAAGCTCGGCCAACGCCTTGGAGCACCCTCCGTCGGTAAGTCCCGACCAACCGCCTGCACGTGTCCTGTCCAGCCCGATTCCGTCGTCATCGAGTGCAAACGCACCTCAGCCTGCAAGTGCGACCACTGCCGCGGGCGCGCTGCGAGCCAATTCGATCGCGTCGACCACGCCGACGATCACCTCGTCGTCATCATTAACAACGTCCTCATCATCTGGATCCATTCAACAACTGGATGAGATTCGTCGTCTTCGTGCAGAACGCGATCAGCTGCAAACATTGCTCGACAATGCCAATGCACAGATAAAAAGGACGCAGGTTGCGCTCGCTGCTGCCGATCAAGACTCTCGCGAAAGCGCACAACTGATCGAGCAACTGCAAGTTGCAGTGATGCAGTCCGAGCAACGCGACCGGGAGGCGAACGATCACATTGTCAAGCTCGAGCGCAAGCTGATTCAACAGCTTCTCGGTGATGATGACTATTCTAGTCCAGGATCGCCCATGCGTCCACTATCTTCGTTGTCTACTCAGTATGCCATGTCTCAACAGCAACAGCAGCAGCAACAACCGCAACAACAACAACAGCAACAGCAGCAGCAACAACCGCAACAACAACAACAACAACAACAACAACATCAACAGCCAGTATCCTTATCCAGTCGTCGTTCCTCGTTCATTTTGCCTCAACTACCACCGACAACTGAGCGATCCTGGACAGAAAGTACGAGTCTGCATCAACGGACGAGCAGTAACGCCTCGCTTCATGACTCGTTCAGTAGCAGCCCGCAAGCGTCCATGTACGGCAGCCCATCTGCTTTACTGCTAAGTCGAGCAGCCGCCGACCTGGGATACCTCCAGCCTCGCCATTCGTCCTTCTCGCAGTCCCCTGCCACACAACAGCCATATCAGCTCCAATCGACCCCGCAGTCGCCTCATCCGCAACTACAGGTTGTTCCAGCCACTTTCTCTAACCGAGGATTGGGTGTGAGCGCGTTTGCCACGGCCAGCTCCAGTGGTGGCAGCGACATCACAGCGTCCAGCGGGTTTCAACCCTTGGCCCCTGCGTCGCCTCTCCTGCATGCCAGTTCTCGTCTTTCGTACCTGTCGCTGAGTAGCACCTCCCAACCTGTGCCATCTGCGCATGCCGTGCAACCCCAGTCGACTCCCGCGGCATCTCAATCACCTCGTGCCAACCGAACCTCCCGTTCCATTTCACAACCTCCAGTTCACGTTTTCCCGCAATAGCCCCCAGCATGTCCAATTGATTTTTAGTCCATACGTGCCGCCTTGGTTTTTCTTGTTATCCAGTACATGAAAGTTGCGCTAGCTCAATCATTTCCAAAAAGAAAAACCATACCCGATTTTTGCCGTGGACAGTCTAGTCTTATTTGACCATGGATGGACAGCAACACTATGGTCGCGGTCGCGTGCTCTTCCTGACGGGCATTCTCGTGCTTCTGACGCTGTACCTCCTGATGCCAACTATCAGCGAGTTTAGCAGCAATACTATCAACCTGTCCGGCGACGAGACGGAGGCAGGTGCGACCGAGCAGCAGCCCTCTGTTGAAGTGCGAGTTGGCGTAACAGGAAATGCACCACTCCCTGCTCCTGCTCCCACAGCTACTGCCGACTCGGACCCGCATTCAGAGCTGACAGGATCAAGAAACTTTGATTGTTCTACCAACGTGCTTGCTCTTGCTTCCATTGACGCTGTGGCTTCAGCCGAATCCGTGGCTTCTGTCGCGTCCATTGAGGTGGTCGTTTCCGCGGAGTCTGCTTCAATCGAGTCTGTAGCTTCAATCGCATCTGTCGCTTCCATGGAGTCTGTTGCTTCCATGGAGTCTGTCGCTTCCATGGAGTCTGTAGCTTCAATCGCATCTGTCGCTTCCATGGAGTCTGCTTCAATCGAGTCTGTAGCTTCAATCGCATCTGTCGCTTCCATGGAGTCTGTTGCTTCCATGGAGTCTGTCGCTTCCATGGAGTCTGTAGCTTCAATCGCATCTGTCGCTTCAATGGAGTCTGTTGCTTCCATGGAGTCTGTCGCTTCCATGGAGTCTGTCGCTTCCATGGAGTCTGTAGCTTCAATCGCATCTGTCGCTTCAATGGAGTCTGTTGCTTCCATGGAGTCTGTAGCTTCAACCGCATCTGTCGCTTCAATGGAGTCTGTTGCTTCCCCTCTTGCAGCTGCTACGGCTTTTCCTGTTGTAAGCAATCGAGCGGAAGCGATCAGTTTGTTTTGCTCGGCATCTCTCACGGTCTGATTTTCGTGTTTTTTTTTTTTCTTTTTTTTTTTCTATTTTTTGTTATTTCCAACCTCCTAGCCGAACGATTGTGACGACTACTTTGTTCGGAACCGGGTCTTCCTTGTGGTCCAGTTTAACTCCGGTTGGTGGGATCATGTCGAGAAGGCCATGCTCAACTTACCCGCGTACGCCAAAGCAGTCTTCGTCTTCCCCAAGGTCACACAAGAACAAGCCGATCGATTTCCCACAGTCCAGTTCCTTGCCTGCGAGGACGCGCTTTCCGGACTGTATCCACATACTTGTCTGGCCGATATCATGGCAGCAAACCCAGGGTACACTGGCTTCATGTTTGTTCACTTTGATGTTTACTTCAAGCATTGGCTGGCACACGACCTACCGCTTCATGATGTTTGGGTTCCCCTTCCGGGTGCAGAGGGCACGGATCGGGCATACATGCCACCTTGGTCCTGGTGGGGTACACATCACGGTCTTCAAGGGCTGGACAATACTCTGAATGCGGTTGTGCAGGCTTGCGCTTCCCCGGAAACAAGCCAATTTGAATGTCAACCAAGGCTTGCAAAGCAAGTCGAGGCCCTTCTGCCCGGGCGTTACTTTGGCAGTGGCTTTAGCGATATCGCCTACATTCCTGGCGTCTACGCGGCTGAATTTAGTAAGGCAGTTTGCTTGATTGTCCTGTGTATGTGTGTGCTCTGACCATATTTTCTCTCACAGAATATCTGGCACAAGTTACAAAGACACACCGGCTGATTTCCGAAATCTTCTTTGATATGTTCGCACGAATTGTCGACATTGATCCAGATGCGCCGGCGCCGCTAATCTCGGCGTCCTATTCGCGCTGGAGTCGTTTCATCTTGCCAGGCGTGAGCGAGCTTGATGAATCTCCATCTGGGATTGCCGGGCTGCTTTCGCGATGCAATGACCCAACTCAATTGTTCTGTCATCGTGCGGACTTTCGACACGAAATCTGGGTTGAGCGATACACGCAATCACTCAGGCAATGCAGAGATATACTTACTCCGTGAAGAAGTGTTGATGTTGCTTTGGTTCATCATCTCAATGTTTTGCCGACGTACAGTATCTCCTGTGAGTGCTGCTCTGCTGGGTCTTTCCGATTCGTGAATGGGGATTGAGCTTGTTTTTGTTTTGTTTTGTTTTTGGTTTAGTTTTCACGACTTTTATTTATCTCTGGGTTTTCCATTTCCAATGAGTGTAATGGGAGCCAAAAAACGGGTCGTGAGAAGCTTGTGACTTCAACTGTCAGAATTGATGTCAAAGCCTGGTTTATTTAAACATGTCGAAGCCTGGTTCATTTAAACACTCATTGAGCAAAGCTGGAATATGAGCGAGCAATATTCAACATGAGCTTTTTCGACTTCGATGCATTTGGACGACTGCCCACATATCCGAAGGAATATCATCCAAAGTTGAGCTTCCGAACTCCTACGAGCATTCGCTCAAAAAGGGTAATGCAATGCTCAATACAGCAAAATTTATTCGTTTCTGTGTTTCATACCATTGCCGACTTTTCATGCACGAACGTGCTGCAACTCAGGAGCACCAGAAGACTGCGCACTTGAACTTGCGGTCTGACGGGCAACAAAGTCCTGCAGCGACGTCGTTCTGATCGGCACACCGCGCAAGGAGCGAGCGGTCACAGAAGTGATTTCAACCTCAAGGTACTCGCCGGGTTTCGTGGCATCTAACAGGCGTCGACGAGCAGCCAGGATTTCGTCCGACGCGCGCTCCACCACTCCTTGCGGAAGCAAATCAGCGCCAATGTTCACACTAATGTTGCCATCGGAGCGACCTGTTAGCTGATCCTTGGCGCGGCGGCTGGGGCGCTCTACCAACACAAGTTGGCGCGACCCCACAAAGCGAGACAAGGATTGTTCCGAGCGAGCATAAAACGATGCAATCATCTCCTTGAGCCGCTGGTTTTTCACATCAGCAGGGACGTCGTCCACCAACTTGCGGTGGGCATGCGTTTTCTTCCAAGACAAAAAGAAAAAAAAAACACCCCGCAAAATCAAAGTTGAGAACAAGCCTTCCGTTTGTAGAATGACTGGGAAGGGAATTCCAACGCATCGAAAACAACCAAAAAAAAAAAAAAAACAAAAAACAACCGATGCCGTACCTCACGCATGCTATATCCAAACAGATAGCCATATTCATAGCCAGCCTTTTCAATCAAGTCAAGTGTGTCTTTAAAGTCCGCTTCGGTTTCGCCACAGAATCCAGCGATAAAGTCAGAGCTCAGCGTCACATCTGCCAACACAAACAACAGCCAGAACCCATGTAAAACCTATGCACATTGCACGCCCTGAACTAACGCCCACCAAAGGAAAAGAAAAGAAATAAAATAAAAACCAGCCAGCATATGCATACCAGGGATGAGCCGCCGAACGCGGGCAACCAGCTCCAGGTAAGACTCGCGGGAATAACCACGCCGCATGCGCTCAAGAACAGATGTGCTACCGCTCTGAGCTGGCATGTGCAGCGACTTGCAAACGTTGGCCGTTGAGGCAATGACTGTCAAGACATCGTCCGGGAAGTCTTTGGGATGCGGCGAGGTGAAACGAATGCGCATTTCGGGATCGACGGCAGCGACTTGGCGAAGCAGTTCAGCAAAGCGCCGACCGCCAATTTTGGGTTTGTAAATGGACTTGAATCCGGCTGCAAGAGCTGTGACGTTGTGCGTGGTATCGGCAGCGGCGCTTGGTGGCAGTGGTGGTGGTGATGCGGCGGAAAGATTCGGAGAATCTGCGGGATTGCCAGGTTGTCCCTGCTCTGCAGCATCATGGGCAGGTTCGGATTCGTCGCGATAGCTATTCACGTTTTGTCCGAGCAGAGTGACCTCCCGTACACCTTGCCTGGCCAACTGACGCACTTCTTCAACGATAGAGGCGAGAGGCCGGCTTCTCTCACGGCCACGGGTGAAGGGAACAATACAAAAGCTGCACATGTTGTCACATCCGCGCATGATAGATCTGCACATGCGCCATCGTGCATGTCCAAAGAAGAAGAGGGCGAAGGGATGGCAGGGCGAAAAAGGAAATGAGAAAAGCGAACGATCGCCGCTTTGAAACAAAGTTCACTTACACAAATGCAGTCACACTATCTTTGGACATGCGAACCGGCGCAATGTCAGCATACGTTTCATCGAGCGACAGCTGAACGTTCACGGCTTGATCTCCTTGGTTGGCAATGCTCAGTAGCCTTGGGAGGTCGCGGTATGAGTCTGCCACCAACCGACACAAAGCCAAGAACAATACCAGGTCAGAGACAACGAAACGTCCTCGAAGGGAGCACCTTTCACCAGGAAACTTCTTACCAGGCCCTGCCACAACATCCACGAGCTGGTCCTTCTCCAGAAGCTGGGTTTTGAGGCGCTCGGCCATGCATCCTGTCGGCATGATGGTGAGCGTGAGGCATTCAGCAAACTGAAATGACCCCATTGTGTTGCAGGTTCTGACTTGAGAGTTCCTGCAACCGGGGTACAAAAAAACACCATTACCTAGAACACCGACACGAGAAATTGGCTGGTCCTTGGTACGTTTGAGTCTCATGTGTTTCAGCTCGTTCAACCGGGACCAGACCTTGCGCTCGGCATTGTCACGGATGGCACAGGTCATGAGCAAAATCACATCCGCCTGCATTGTCGTACCATCAGGACATTGGCGAGTTAGCAGGACAAACGGCATCCCACCGATTTCTCCCAAGTGGACAAGCATTCATCACCTGTTTCACGTCAAGAGTCCGCTCAAATCCAACGCCCTGAAGGATAGACCACACAATCTCCGTGTCATTCACATTCATCTGGCAGCCATACGTCTCGAAAAATACTGACAACCAAGCGACCATTGTTTTGGCTCAAAAGTGAGCCACAAAATAGCAAAGATGCTAGGAATCACGATTCCTGCCACAGTACATGTACCTTTGCGCCCTTCGCCACCAATCTGATGTGGCGGCACATACGGAATATTCTCAACATCCACACGATCGGATTTAGGCGCGTTCAGAATCACCGATCCGCGCTGTTGCTGAGCAGCTGCAATGGCATTGGAGCTCAATCGGCGTCCAGCATGAGAGTGTCCACCATGCCCGTGTCCATGCCCTTCAGCAAGATCGTCTGGTCCAGCACCCGCTTGTGCGACTCCAGGGCTCGTCGACGCGGCCATAAAGTCCTTCAGTGTAAACCCGTCATCGGGCAGCGTCTTGCGTCGAGCGCCAGTCTTGGCAGTGGGAGTGCTGCTTGGCGGCTGTGCTGATGCTGCCGCCGCCGCCGACGACGACGACGATGATGATGATGATGATGGCAGTGACAACGAGCACGCGTCTGCGTGGCCAGAATTGTGTCGCTGGACGGCTGTCTGGATGGCGCGCTGGGGCCGCGTGGAGCCGACTGAAACCACGCCCGGTGCGCGCATCCCAACAACTCCCAAAGAAGTGCAGGATTCAGTGCAAAGCGTCTGCCGACCTAGTCCAGCCACGCTGCGGCCGGACGGGAGGCTCAGCAGCATCCGCGCCAGTGCCATATTTTTCTCGAATCGTTTCGACCAAAAGTGAGGACTGGTTCAGGTTTCGTTCTCAATATGTAAGGTGGACGTTAATTTAAGGAAGGAAAGAAGCGCCGAATGGGATGTAGTCAACAAGCTCAGCAGTAGTAGAACAGCACATAACACGTTTGGTCCGAAACAAAGCGAAAATCAGTGCCGCTCCCTCACTCGAGACGCTGCTCAAACACTCGAGGGATGAACTGCAGCTGCAAATCAGGATGAACAACAACCACCATCGGCTGGAGTAGAGGGGTCGTGGCAATCTCGTTCGCGTCAGCAGGCTCGTCGAGACCAGCTTGTGCGCGTTCTGCGAGCAGCTGCTCGTGCAAGTACGTCCATTGCACGCCAATGTGCCAGTCTCGTCGAGTGCCCTGGTCGAGACCATTCTTGGCGACATGATCGAATGCTTGTTCAACATCCGTCGCCTCGACATGCGCTTTGAGGTGTTCCTCGAGCGTTTTAACAGTGACCTTTTGCGAAGAAACTTGCTGCAGCAGTTCTTTCTCAGCCTCCGAGAAGGAAAACGGGAGGACGGGCGCACTGATGCCCAAATCCAGGCGCGATCGCTTGCGCGCACCATCAGCCGTGCCGGGGTCTGCCGCAGAATCGCCAACCATTTTCTTCAACACGCCAAAGATGGCGGAGGTCACGGTCGGAATGTACTTGGTCAAGTTCTGCTTGCGCTCTTGTTGCTCACGCAGTGACGCGTTGCGGAGCAACTTGACGCGGAGCTGCAGGCAGCATTGCTGAATGGCGTGCTACCAAGCTCAAGTTGAGGTGGGGGGCGGGGAAGGAAGCGATGCAAGGACGGAAAAAAGTTGGTGACAAATCACACACCCACCACACCGCCAATTGCATCAGGGATGAATTGGTTTCAAGCAGACGAGAAACAAAAAAAAATCAGCTCAGGCAAGAAACTCACCTTGACGGCGAGTCCAATTTCAGTCGCGTCATCGCCAATATATTCCTTGCCAGTCCCTTTGAAGGGAATCTTTGTGCTGACAATGCTGACAAATACACCGACTTTGTCTACATTGGGTTTGATCTTGTACGCAGTCCAGCTGGTGGGCACGGGTGTCGATCGGATTGGAAAAAAAAAAAAGAAGAAAGAACAGAAAAGTCGATGAGCAACCGAATGAATCACTCAAACGCTTTCCGATACTCACTTGATCTTTTGCAACACCGTGCGGGTAACCACGTCTCCGCCAGCTTCGAAAAGCAAGGGAATTCGGTTTGCAAATCGATAAACGGAAATGCCCTGCCACAAAGTTGCAGCATTCGAACAGTCAGTACATTTCAAACAGACAGCGTGCACAGCGCTCGGCATCAACAAATATCCTACCGGTTGTGCAGTTTTGCCACCAAGAGACACGCCGGCCTCGACAATAAACGGGTGGCCTTCGAACACGTGTGCACTGCCAATGCCCAATAGTGGTTAGCAAAAATACACATAAAAAAAAAAAAAAAAACGACGCTCATGACAAGTTTTTGTAACTGGTATGCTATTTACGTTTCCTCAAACGTGGCTACCATTTCGGGTTTGAGTTCTTTCATGATGCCAAGGCGCAGATTGTACTCGCCCGCAGGACTGAGGCACTGAGTTTGAAAAATCGAGTAACAAACAAGGAAACAAAAAGAAGTCAATAATTCCCAATTTTAAGCACGTGCTGGCAAACGCGCTTTTGAGCCGTCAATAGCCGGTTACCTCGCTGGGCGGGGATGGAAACTGGAGCTGTCGGAAGAGCTGCAAAATTCGCAGGACTTGTGCAGAAGTTAGCTCTCCGACACGTAAATCGGCGGAAAAGTCGTCGCCAAGTTCCTCTGCCAGTGCCGTAGACATAGAAAGAAAGTGGTGAGCACTAGGTACACCGAGGCCACGGTAAGGAGCGAAACGTTTCTACTGACTGATAATCTCGGCTGCCAGAGGTGAGGAGATGCAAGAAAGTTGCGAACACAGGAACTTGCGGAGATTCATCGAGGCACCGACGTCTGAAATCAGCTTTTTCATCACAATCAGGTTGACCGAGGACGGGTGATGTTTAATTTCAACGGCGAGTTGGGGCATGAATTCGCTTCGGCGTCCGTACTTGATGACGAACGATTTGCTAAACGGAAACAAAATGAATACACAACAAAAGTCAGCGTAAAGGATGAATGCCGGAACACACGGAACACACTGCGGAAAATCTCATCCGTACGACGCTTGAGCGGCGACAAACTGGAACTGCAGTTCGGCATAAGGCGTGATCACAGCCATTTGGCGCATGTACGACAGCAGCTTGGACTGTGCTCGTGTCGAAAGGGTCCATGTTTAGAGGAGGGTTAGAGACTTTGGCGATGGCAGAATGGGGTGTCAGAAGAGCACAAACAACGTCTTACTCGATACGTGACAAAGTTGCCTTCAATCAGGACTGAAATTTCCGTGCCACGCCACTGCTTGTCGTTCGGCGCCTTCTCATGAGTGATAATGTTCGGCACGTTCTTGTAAATGTCAATGTCCAAGACGCAGTGAGAAATGTGTGCTGAGCCCTCCGTGGCCGTGAACACCTCAATGGGTCGTCCAGTGCTCATTTTAGACCAAATGAGAGCCTAAATAGGGTCGAATACAAAGGAAGCCGGAAAACTCTAAGTCACGACATTGGTCCATCGGTCTATTGGTAGTTGGCATGGGCATCGCATCACGAGATAACTTGCCATCTTTGCTCCGAGGCCAAATCGGCCTCGCGCCTGTTTGACGCCATACTTTGTTCCAGCAAGAACTGTTCCAAAGAATTCACCAAATCAAGCCGAGTGAAGAAAGATAGACAAAAAAAAAACAAAAAAAAAAAAAAACAAACACAATCAACAACATACCAAATTCGCTTACCTCGACCCAGCATGTTGGGAATGTCGTTGTGGCTCATGCCGCAGCCATTGTCCTTGACGGTAACTTTAAAGTACGTAGCTTTGCCACGAGTACGACCGGCCGATGCCGTTGTAGGTGGTGCGGACGCTGGAGAGGATGTGTCCATCGGCGCAGGACCTTCTGCCGGAGTGGGTACATCCTCTACTGCATCGACAGCACTGGCTTTGGCAGTCTTTTTGGCTGCTTTCGCATCGGTTGAGCTTGTACGTTTCTGTGGGGGTTTGTGTTGGGTGCCGTGAGAGCAGGACAAAAGATTCTCAACAACCTTTTCCGTACACGCCATGACGTCTTTGCCAAACGAGACGACAAGGCAATCATTACCAATTTGGCAGCAGCAGCCGCAGCAACGGCCGTATCTTGATATAGTCGCTCGTTCTTGCGCAAGTGCTCCTGCAGTCCAACGAGAGAGTTGAACGTGGCCTGCTCAATTTCCTCCCTGTGACCAACCACGTCACCACGTGAGCCGCACGGAAAGACGTACACTTGTAGCCTGCATGGCATGTACACCGGCATAAATTTGCATACAGGGTAACATGAATCACGGGAAGAACCTCAATGGCCTCGGCAGCATCCAACGAATTTTCAACAAATTCTCGAATGGTCGTGTAGAGCGACTTGCCAGCCTAATAGTCAGGGGATGGACGCAAAGTCAACCACTGTACCAGCTTGCACAAGAGCAACGACGCATATGGCGACATGAGACTTACATTATCAAAGCCTGTCCGGCATGATTGTTCAAACACAAGACCAACGTTAGCGCCAAAAACAGCCAAACAGCCAACCTCCCACCCTTCTCCCCCAACGTTCGGTATTTTTGCGCATTAAAAGCTCCCAGCCATGCCAACCACATCAGCCAATGTACCCGCAATGTTCTTGTTGTTGGCAAAGAACTCGGCGGGACTCTTGAACTCGAGTTTGGACGACGAGTCTGCGTCGAGCTCGGCTTGCGGCCGTTGCTTTGACCCTGAAGCAGAGGCAGCGACCTTCTTGATCTTGGTCTTGTTCGCAGCTGGGGTTTGCGATGCACGCGTGGATTTCGCCTTGGACTTGGAGGGAGTAGCAGCGGATTTCCCGCGCTTTTTCACTTTCCCGCCAATCTCGTCGTCCTCCGACTCCATCTCGCTGCTCTCGCTCTGCGCACCATCGGATGCATCAGACATGGCATCATCGTCATCGTCATTATCGTCATCCTCATCGTCGTCATCGTCATCGTCATCGTCGTCGTCGTCGTCGTCGCCGCTGCTGGGCTTGGATTTGCGCTGGCGAGCTGATTTCGGCGTCGCTGGAGCGCTGCTGCCCTTCCTGCGTGGAGTTGCGGCGTCGGCGTTCTTGGCACGAGGACTGACGCTGCTACCGCTGCTGCTTGTTGACGCACCGCTGCTCGGCTTGGCCTTGGCTTTGGCTGGCTTGGCGTCGTCCAGATGGAACTCGTCGTCCGAGCTCTCCACTCTTGGCATCTCAGAATCTTTAGAGTGAAAATCGAGCAAATACTAGTAAACAAGGCGAAAGACTGCAACGACCCACCAACACAAGAGTTATTGCCGGTTTGTCGTTGATGACTTCAGGACAGGAGGCTTTATTCGAGATGCGTAAGTCCCGAACATTCAGACACAATGCAGCTGCCCAAAGGACCCATACAACTCCCAGAAGAACAAAAACAAAACAATATAAAGAATATCCTGCGTATTCAAGAAATACACGAGCAGATGTCGGCCATCCGCCCCCAATCTAGCATCGCTTGGACTGATCAGGCTGCAGTTGCTGCACAGTGTCTTGCACAAAGTTGAACGAATCAGCATTGGGCTTGTCAATAAAGCTAAAGCCACCGGTGGCGCTGGAGCGCGGACCGACGGGCCGGTTGGTAGGTGGAGCTGCAGCGCCAGCAGGTGCGTACACGACTTGACCGTGTGCCTGGACCACATAGGATGGGTGGGAGTGCAAGTTGCCTCCGCCATAGTTGGGAGAGGGCATGGACGACAGGGTCGTCATCATGGGTTGGCGACCCATTCCGGAGATGCCACTATTCGCCATCGGAACAAGCGCACTCGGGGCAGCGGCCAGATCGGCGAGCGTCATGCCCGGACCCGAGGAAGTACTCGAGGTGTTGCCCATGCCAGCAAACGGATCAAAGTTGTCCGAGCTCGCGCGGGCATGCGCGTTGGCATCAAACAAGTTGGCAGGCAGCTGTGGGCGCTGCGACGGTGCAAAGCCCAGATCATCGACGGACGATGCAACGACAGCCGGCTGCTGTGTGAATTGCGAGACCGGCAAGGATGCTCGCTGCTGCGGGACGGACGGCGCCGGAGGAGCAGACGGCAGCCCGGACAAAGAAGTGGCGTTCATGGCGCCAGTGGAGGCGTGGTAGCCTTTGGCCATCGGATCGAGAGTATCGAGCAAGGAGGTTGCCTGGCTGGGGGAGGATGCGTCGCCAAACAAATCGATTGCTGACGAAGAAGACGATGTGGCGGGAGCGGCAACGGCAGATGCAGTCGGAGGCTTGCTACCCAATTTCATGCCAGAAAAGAGCGAGCTCGATGAGGCCGTGTTGGACACGGCCGGATTGGCCGAGCCACTCGGTTGGGTGGTGGAAGAAACGCTCGTCGCAACTGGGGCGACTTCGGGTGCAGCGTCCGCCATGAACGAGAACGCAGAACCGCCGCCGCCAGAAGCCGGCACAGTTGCTCCGGCAGGAGCTGCTCCGAGCGACAACTCACCGAGATCAAGTAAGCTATTGCCGCTTGGAGCAGGAGCGCCCATTGTGGCAGCGAAAGACGAGCCCGAGGCCGTCGGCACAGGCGTCTCTCCACCCAGCATGAGCAGCACTTTTGCAGCCTTGTCACGGACCTGTTGTTGAGCATGATCCTGCTGCTGCTCGAGCACTGGTGCGAGCGGTGCGATGCACTCGGTGATGGCAATAATGTCCGATTGCAAGAGTGCTTCGACGACGAACAGCGCTTTCTGTAGAAATCACAGCAATCGAGAGAAAAAAAAAGCAAATGCAGTTGGAAGAGGCGTAGAGGATGAGCAAGCATGAATGTTCTCATCATCCCCTGAGCCCTTCCATCCAAAACAAAAAAAAAAAGAAAGAAACAACCAAACAAACAAAAAAAAAAAAAAAAAAAAAAACGTGTCGAGAGGGGTTCGATAACGTACAAGTCGCACTTGCCAGCTCGGGGAATCCAGCTTTTCGCCCAACAGCTGGGCTACACGATGGCAATCGAGCGAGGAGCAACGCTTGATGAACTGCGCGAGCGCTTCGCGAGGGGGTGCCACTCGCACTCCACCAGCTGCAGTGATTTCCTCGACGAGGCGAGCCTCGTGCACAGACAAGCTCCTGCCCAGAAAGAAAAAAAAAATAAGAGAATGGACGATCAAGCAGAAGTGAGCCCGGTTACTGTCACACCAACCAAGAGCCCGTTGCTTTTCGAAAAAAAAAAAAACCTGCCACAAGAATGCTCTTTCACTTACGGCGATCCAGACAGCGGCGTGATGTTTGATTCAACCACAGGAGTAGAAACACCATACGTCTGCACATCGTTTCGAGAGTACAACTGCTCGGAAGCTGGCGGAGCGTAGACGCGACCTGTAGTGCCCGCACCAAAGTGGCTGGGCCCGGTGTTGTAGCCGCCGCTCGCGCGGTTTGGCGGCTGCGGGTCTGGCAAGCTGTCAGCCAAGTTGTTGATCGTGTCCATAACCTTGTCGAGAAAGCTGGTTTCCTCTGCACAGCACCCAAATATAACGAAAAAGTCAGAAAAAAATTCGATGACAGACAAAAAGTTACAACAGCAAAACAACACCTGCTTACTCTGCTGCGTGTTGACGGGCTGCGAAGAGATGCCCATGTACTTGCTTGTGGGGTGCTGCACTGCATACCCAACGCCACTGGACGAATACACTGCACTCCCGTTAGGATTGGATGACTGACGCACTGGCGCGCTGTTGCTTCCCATGCCAATGTAGGACGATCCACCGCTGGCCGCCCCACTGCTTCGCTGCGGACGCGGTCCAGCCTGGTCAGCGACCGTCTTCGGAACTCCGCCCGTCATGGCCTCATCAACCGAGGCGAACAGCACCTCGAGCAGTTCCTGTTGTTTCAAAATTGGGAATTTGTCAAACTTTTGGTGAGACGGCCGTTTTACGGGCCTCCGAATTCAGCTCATACGACGACAGAAACAACCAGAAGAACAAGAGCAAAGAAACAAGAACAACCCCAACGGTGTCCATGATGCAAGTTCACTCACCGCAGCTGCAGCTCGAACGGCAGCGTATTGAGAGTCGCCAAGCATGAAATCCGGCGGGCCGCGGAACTCTACAAGAAGAAAAAAATTTCCCCATTGACGTTTTTCGTTTTCAGCCCCATTGACCAAGGTCAGAAGCGAGTCAGGGGAAAAGCGAGCGAGAGAGAGCAAAGTAGAAGGGGGATGAAGCAACAAGGGCGCTTACGGGCAGCCGCGCGCAAGGCATTTGTTCGCTGCATGAGGTCGCGTTTGATGGTCGGGTTGCCCTTGTCGATCAGGTAGGCCAGGATGCGGAGCGCCTTGAGCTTGACAAAGCAGTGCGGTTTGTCCAGCTTGCGCATCAGGTAGTCTTCGAGCTCGCCGCACAGCTGCACCGACTCGAACGAGATCTCTGCAAACACAGAGAACAAAAATGAACGAGAGACACAAGAAAAGAGGGTGGTGAGGGGAGAGAGAGGGTGGAAGTGGGGGTCCCAGTGATCGAAAGGACACAGAAACAGACGGTAACGGCAATCGATCAAACAGCAGCAGCAGCGACCCGAGCGGTTGAAGGCTGGTCACAGTGCCCTGAATGGACAAAACTAGTCCACCATTGAGCTACTTTTGGGGATTTTGTGTGGAGGCCGAGGGAGCGCTGGGAGAGTCCAGTGTGCAAAAACCAAAGCCAGACAGAGACAGATGGAGCCTGTCGAACGTACTGGCAATCTCGGCAAACATGTAGCCCGGCGTCGGGACCTCGTCGTTGGCAGTCGCCTTGTTCAGCATTGGCAGCTGAACTGCGAGCGCCAATTTGCCCATTGCGCTCGACTTGAGCTGCTCCAATGCCATTTCTCAAAAAAAAAAAAAAAAAAAAAAAAAAGAGAAAGGACTGACTTTTAGATTGAATCAATCGTTTCGCTGAACTTGATAACAGTCAGAGTTGGTGCACCTGCAGAATGTGGACGCGATTCAGAGATTAGACCGGAAAACACACACACACACACACACACACACACACACACACACAAAAAAGCACCCGGGCTGCCTGACTGTTGACGTTCTGCCATGTCAAATTCATTTCCATGTCCCTTCCTCTCCCTGAATTCCGCCTTCTGTACCGTATCCCAGCCATTGTGATTGCGATACTATTACACTCCAATCAGCCTGACGATGATGATGCACGCCATGGTCGGATCTGAGACCTGCTGAGGTTAGTATTTGACCGAACCATTCCTTTTTTTTTTTTTTTTTTTTTTTCTGTTCATTTTCCGAACAGCGGCGCGTGGGAGAATGGAGCGCAAGAGCTGCCTACGCACGGGAGTTGTCTTCCTTGTGATTGCCGCGCTGCTGGCCAACTTGGTTGTGCTGATGCAGCAGCAGAAGGCAGAGGCGCAACAGCATGTGATCGAAGATGAGGCCAAACCGGCCAATCTCGTCGCAGCGGAGGAGCAGGCTCGGCTGGCAGCCATCGCCGAGCTCGAGGCCGCCAAGATCCAGCTGCAAGACGCCACCGCCAAGCGCGCGGAGCTGGAGAGCGCGGCGATAGTGGCAAAGAACCAGGTGGAGGACGCTCAGAAGGCACTCCTCGCAATGCAGACCGAGCTGAGTGCTGCCACGCAGCGCGCCAACGACGCCCAGAAGCTGCTGGAGCAGCGGAACGGCGAGCTGTTCACCTTACAAACCTCAACGAGCGAGCTTGAGAGGCAAGCCAAGGCTGCTGCGCTCCAAACCATCGAGTCGCTTCAAAAAGAACTCGATGCGGCAAAGCTCGAATCGGACAGCATTCGAACGCAGCTGGATGCAGCAAAGCTCGAGCTTGAGAAACAGCCCACGGGAGGCGTTGCCACACCGGTGTCGCAACCCGAAACGCACCCGTTGGCTGGCTACTTCCAGGACATGGCTGCTGTCGCGCGCATCTTCATGTCCACGCCCAAGCCCGAGCAGCTGGCCAAGGATGCACCTCGCGTCTTTATCGAGTTGGCTGGCCACTTGCGCTCGCAATCCAAAAACCTGGTCAACTTTGCTTCCCTTGTCGAGTCATTCCAGCGCCAAGGGGCGAACGTTTTTCTGAGCGAGTACACCTGGACTCTCATCGACGACAATCAAGCCAAAACTTGGTGGAAAGGGGATCCAGCCGGCTACGTCGAGGGGCAAACCGCACGGTATGGACAACCTGTGGATATCATTCGTGAGCAGATCGAACCCGAGCTTGCTCGTCTCCATGTGCCCTATCTGATCGTCGTGGGCCAATCTGGCGAAGAGCGAGGCGATGCACCATTCAACCGTCTTCGCAGTTGGATTGGCGCTCACCGGGCCACCAACAAACTGGCCAAAGCGCTGAACATGAGCGAGCCGCGTCCAGACGATATTTTGATCTTCACGCGTCCAGACATCTTGCTCGACTCTAGTATTGACCTCAGCACTCTCGCTCCCTACTTTCAGCGCAATCCAATGACGGCATTTGTTCTGGGGCATGTTCCCAACCAACCAGTAAGACGACTTTGGTTTTTCGTTCGTTTTGCCTTGTCACGGGAGAAATTCTCTCATTTTGGCGAGGGCACACATACTTGTAGGGATCAAAGTATGATCCATCCGACGTTATCTGGATTACTACACGCAGGGCTCAGGACGCGCTGATGCACTCTGTACTGTATCTCAACGAAGAAAACAAAGGACCAGGCGCATACGGCGGCTCCGGACCCATGCACCCTTTCCAAGTCATGTTTTTCAAATGCAGCCCTGTGACGGCTCGTTACCTGCCTTCCAGCTTCCGCATTTTCATCCATCGGTTGCACGATGATATGGTAGCCCTTCCACACCAGTCAACGCCATACACTGGCGCCCACCCAGTCAACGCACCCATCGATATAGTCAGCTCTCAGCAGTGTAAAAAGCCCTTCTTTGGATACACACGCGAGAGCCTCGGTCCCAAGGATGCAAACCACAATGAAATCACCTCCGTACTGCAAATGCAACGCCAAAGCTCACCACTGACGGTCGAGATCGCTACTCAAAAGACAACCTTTCGGTCACCCAACCTGGACGACCAGACTGACCAAGTTCTGTATTGCCCCTATCTGGACCCTGCACCTGGATTTACTCCGGGGTACGAAGGCGTCCTTGCTAAGGGTGAGCTTGTTTCTCCTTATATTCTTTGATGTCAATCGCTTACTTGACGTCCAATGTTTACAAACTGTTGACATTAACCATAAAACATACAATTCACTCTCGGCATGATCGAAACTGAGCATGGTTTTACCACCTCAACTACTATTAGTCACATTCGACCACTCCGCACATTACCCTGATAGTAAATGTAGGGTCTTTGCACTGTTCCACAGCTCAGCGATCCGAGACGTTCCATCCAGATTTGCTCAGACACACGCAACTGAAACCACCACCCCGCTACCATCACCACACCGCCCCAAAACCCAACAAACACAAAACTCAGACTCCCTTCCCCCAAACTGAGACTAGCCGAGACCCACAACACAACAGCCAGTCCTTATTTGCTTTGCTCAAAGCAAGGGATCAAAAATCAAACACACTTTCTATGGTGCGGCTGCCGACAAAGCTGCTGCGTCACCATCTGCCGGCGGCAACATTGCTGCTCTTACTTGTGGGGCTCAGCGTGGCGCTGCTCGATGCTTGGCGACGCGTCGATGAGCTGCAGCAGGAGCTGGCGCTTGCCAGTCGCTCTCCTCTCGCGGGAGCAGCAGGAACAGAGCAGGACGTTGCCGCGCTCCTCGAGCAAGACACAGATGCAAGAAGGTCGGGCGTGGTCTTGGCCGACCAGAGTGCTGTCTGTGGTGTCACGGGGACCAAGCTCGCACAGCCGCAGCACCATCTGGCTGTCGTCATCCCATTCCGGGATCGCCACGACGAGCTGATGGCCATCATTCCCGCACTAAGCCGGTTCCTCACGCGCCAGCAGGTCGGATTTACAATCTGGATTGTCAACCAGGTCGACGGGCTGCGTTTCAACCGAGGAGCGCTCATCAATGTCGGGTTTTTGTACGCCACGGGCCGGCGAGTCTGGCCTGGGTTTCCACCCATCCTTGGTGGTGGCAAGGACAATCCTGCAGACGTAGGGATTCCGCCAGGAGAAAAAGGCGGCGGTCGCACGGAGAGTCCCGCCCTCAATCCATTGTTTGCCGAGCCCGCAAGTGGCTGCCGCCCGAAAGTTGCGACATACTTTGCAATGCACGATGTGGATCTCATCCCGTTGCACTCGCTGCTGCGCTACTTTTACCCGGGATCCGACAAGCGCGCTTACCACGTGTCACCCCCGCACCTGCATCCAAAGTACCATTACAGGGATTTCGTTGGCGGGATTCTCATCGCTTCCAACGGCCTGTTCAATGCCATCAACGGCATGTCAAACAACTTTTGGGGCTGGGGCCGCGAAGATGACGAGCTGTTCAAACGACTGCAAGAGGCCGAGGTTGTTATTGCTGCGCCGGATGTGAAAATTGCCCCCGAGCAAGCCTTCCGACACAACCACGATAACCGAAGAGTCCGGGATCGAAACTACACGAGAGAGCAGGTAGAAATGCTTCGCCAACGCGACTCTGTGAGCGGTTTGAACTCAGTCTTGTTTAACACGACTGCTGGGAGGCGATTGTCGGTCGATGGCTGGCCAGCATTCGTCATTGACGTCGAGTTGCAGTGCAACATTGCGACCACGCCCTGGTGTCTCCAAAAAAGCAGTTAGTGTTTCGTTGACAGAAGCAGCATAATCAGCAGCAGCAGCATCATGCTCTGGTGATTTGATGAAAATCAGTCGCAGCAGTAGCATCATGGTCTGGCCATTTGTTGAATTTAGGCGACTTGTGCGTCGACCACCTATTTATTTACATTGGTGTCGTAGTTGTTGTTGGTGTTCGTGATGTGGTTTTTTGGTTTTGTGTCTTGTATTTTTCTTTTTCTTTTCGAACAACACAACAACGAGAGCAAAAGCGAAATTTCGAAAGCATCTTCCAAACAGACAGCAGCAACAGAATGCTCAATGCATGCTCCCAGCCTCACTGCTGCATTTGTGCAAGCACGACAATCAATGAAACAAACAACACAGAAACAGCATACAATCGGAACAAGAACACTGACTCCCCCCACAAACACAAACACAACGATTCATCTGCACACAACCCTCTCAATGAACGGCCGACGTGGATGTGACAGTCTCCGCAGACGTGGACGTGCTGACAGACAGCAGACTGGAAAGCGAACGACGATAAATCTCGGACGAAATGACATCCACGTGATAGCTGAGGGTTTTAGGCGTCACCCAAGAGTACGTGTTGTCCCAGCGGAGAACGTACTGGCCAGCACGCTGGCACACCATTGTGCCCTGCACCGAGCCTTTGTACTTGACAGACTTTTCCAACTCTTCAAGCTTGTCGGCATGGGCTTCCGTGTCGATCGAGTCCTTGGTGAAGAAGACGCCAAAGCCAACATCGGCGCCAGAGTGAACGAAAAAGTCCCAGGTGATGACCGTGTCGGCATCCTTGACCTGGATTGGGAGACGGAACGTGGAGCCGCGCCCAATAGCCATCTCTTGGTACATGGCAGTGTGATCGGCAGAAATGATGGACTCGTTGTCGTTGTCGGCGCTCGCGGCGCCGCCCTCGTACAGGGCCTCGGGAACGGGGCCGCCTGCCGCAAAGCTGGTGGGACACGAGCCGCCCAGGAACTCGGGGATGGACTCGGAGGGCAGAATATCTGCGAGCTGCTCCAAAAAGTTGTCGCCCAGAATGACAATCTTGTTGCGTGTGCGCTCGTCAAACACGTTGCGCACGATCGACCACGCCACGGGGAAGAGAGTCGGCGCGCGGATGACGACCAGGCGAGCCATCGTCTCGGGGTAGTTGGCGGTGTCCTGCTGGATGATTTTTTGAATGATGGAAACGCCGGGGCGCCAGAGGTGCTTGAGACCCAGGCCTTCAAAGTCGACAATGCACGTAAAGTCGTGAATGGGGCGGCCAGTGCGCTCAGTGGCCTCGGAGGCGAGCTTCATGCCAGTCTCGTTGATAAAGATGAGCTGCTTGATGAGGTCTTCCTCGGAAACACTCTTCATGACGCCCTTGACATCCAGCTGGCCTACGCGGAAGACAAACACGGGACGGCCGTCCTTGTCAAAGTGATGCCAGCCACACGGCAGGTAATCACGCAGGACGTCTGGCTGCTTGTACATTTCCAAAATGTGGTCTGCGCCGACCGCCTGTCGCCAGTACAGGGAGCGTGTCAGCATCTCGTGGGCCTTTTCAACGCTAAACTCTCGCGCACGCAAAAAGCGCAACAGGACGCTCTCTGTCGGCAACCGCTGTCCACGCTTTCCGCACGTCTCTGCCATTTGCTGTCGCAGCATCAACAAGTCCGACTCTTCCTTGGAGGTAAGATCGCCCAAGTAGCGCTTGATAAACTCTGCTTCGAGCTTGGGCTGGGTTGCCACCACATCTACATTGCAAAACGATTTTGGGGGAGGGGGGGGGACAAGGAACAAGGAGGGGAAAATTAATCTAGATACAGTACAACAGGTTTTGACGTGCACGAACAGAAGAAATCGAAGAGAACGAAAGAGGATGGTACAGAGAAAGAGAGCGGTGATTTTTGGGAGGAGGGGGTGGGGCGGGGAGGAGGAGAAGGGCAGGAGAAATGAACGAGAGGAAAAGTAAAACAAAAAAAAAAAAAAAAAAATCAAAAGCAGACAAGTGTGGCATTGTTGAATGCAATGAAGCGAGAGCATAAAAACAAACTCACTCGCTTGCAACGCAAACAAATAAATGCAACATCCGAGAGTTAAGAGCAAAATGTTAAGCTGGGCGGTGAAAGTGGTGCGTAACGAAGAAGAAAAACAGGAACAGAAGCAAAGCGACACACAAAACCCCCTTCGGAAACAAAAGGTGCATTTGTTGTTAAGAAGAAGAAAAAAAAGGGAAAAAAAAAACAAAAGAAAAAAAAAAAACAAAAGAGAAAGCCGGATCATCCTTGAACATTCGTACCAGCAGCAGAGGCAGCTTCTGTTGTGGACGGCTCGGGGCCCTTCCACGGGGCGATAGAGGTAATACCGTCTCGTTCCAATTCGGCGAGGTAATGTTGAATAATTTCCATGCCCTACCATAGTGTACATCGAAAACCGTGGTGAGCATTCTGCCCAAAGAGACTCTCTCTCCCTCTCGCGTCTCGCCCCCCCCCCCAAATCTCAAAAACAAAATGCCTTACCTTGTCTACATTCTTCAAGTAATTCTTCATTGCCAGCTTTTCGATTGCATTCTCCATGCCCAGGAAGGATTTGATCTTGAGGGAGGCTTCCTGATCGAAGGCCGTCCATTCTGCATTGTCAGGGTGAACCTGCCGGCGCACAACAAAAGCACACCAAAGTGGAGCGTGCATCAAGAGGCAAACACCAACGTGAATAAAATTGCGACAAGCACCCAACAAGGTTGGCAGAGATTCAACTTACACGATATCGGCATGTCTCGAGAATGGTAACCTTGTTGGCAAACGTCTCGTTGCGCGCCTCAATGACGAGGGTGCGATCGCGGCGGTTGAGCGTGTTCTTTTGGATAAAGTAGGCATAGTCGACGCCAATGACCTTCTTGAGCAGTGCAGGCGCCTCAATGTCGAGCTTGCACCGGCGTTCAATCATGTGAATGGCACCGTCCTCGCTCTTATACTCGGACATGACTTCTGAGCCCAGGAACACTGGGATGAGTGGCGAGGTCGGAAACCGACGCTCGTATGCCTGCGCACAAAAGTCAAGTCGGGTGGGAATGAGTCACAAACGTCCAGCTTTTGCCTGACACGGTTTTTTTTTGCGGCTCAACGGTGAGAAATGTCAATCTATGTGAATATGGGTGCGACTCTGTTGCTTGTTGATGCGCTATTTATTCCATGATGATTCAGATTCGAATCGGAAAAGGTGAATAATGTGGGGTTGGCTTTTTTTTTTTTTTTTTTTTTTTGTTTTTTGCATTTCCACGCTCGCTCTTGCCGCTGTTCTTCCTCTTCCGCCGCTGCTATCATACAGTGCGATACGCAGACACTTTGACGTCGTCACTAAACGTGCACTCGGCAGCTCTGCGCGCCAGTCACGCCTCAGGGCGGTGTGTTGCGCTCTGCAACGTGACGTGACGCAGCGGCTTTTTTTTTTTTTTTTTTTTTGTGATGTTCTTTTTCGCATTTTGCTTTGTTTCTTTCCGACTTTCATCTGGACTGGTTTGCCTGGTTTGACGGGGCATCGAGTTCTAGTAGCAACGGTAGGCTCATCACCTCTCACACCGTCCACGGAGTACCGCAAAAGTGTCAAAAAAAAAAGCAGTGCAGGCAATGGTTCGCCAGTCAAAAAAAAAAAAGAAAAAAAAAAGAAAAAAAAAAAAAGGTGCGAGCAGTTCGCATGGAATTCGAACGGTTTGGACGCGACGCCGTCATGTGGGCATTCGCCGGCACAGAGCAAACAAGCAACAAGAGTGCTGCGTCACCGAACAACAGCAGGTAGAGCATCGTTGCGCTCTGGAGTTTTTGCTTTTCGGTGCGGCGGAGCCATGAGCAAACTTAAAATCCCGTTCAGCCGTTCCACACCGGCACATGTTGCACGCTCACCCCCTTCCCCGACTCTGCTCCCGCTGCTGAGGCATGCATTGGGGTGTTAGTTGAGTCCTTGACTAACTGCGTCGCACGCTCGCTGTTGTGGCTGTAACCCCCGCCCCTCTTTGCCGAAATGGCGCGGTTGGACAGGTGGAACACTCACGGCCATCACAAGCTCAAATGGCTTGCGGTAGACTTTGATTGGCGATTGGTACTGCTGGACCATCTGAGATGAACAACAAAAATGAAGATTGAGACGCGATGCACACATCGAAAAACGAACGAGAAATGGGGTGCAAAAGGTCGAGGACAAAACCTTTGAAAGAAAGAAAGAAAGAGAGAGAGAGAGAAAAAAAAAAAAAAAAAAAAAAACCCCCAGAAACTCTTGACTGTAGATCTCGATCTATTGATCTAAAGGCGACCGATGTTTTGGTTCTTTTTGTTGCAAGCGGGTTTCGTTTGTCATGGGTGCTGGCGCTACAGAAAGAACAAATCCCTATTGTGCCATGCTGGGGGAAAATGACACTGCAAGTCGGAAGGACATCGCCGTGCAGTCGGAACCGCTCCGCAAGTCGGCAACAACCAACTCGTAGCTGTCAATTTTCACATTTCCTCTGCATCACTGTATTCAGTGAAAGTCGGGCAACGACGTGATACAGTATTCATACGCTGCAAATCTAAATGCTAAACACATACGCACAGGCCAAACCTGAGAACCACTGGTGGCTCAGGTGCCCGCGCTTCAGGAGCCAAGCATTGTGCGCAGCATCTCGCTGATACCAGGCATCGAGCTCACTCCAGAACTCGATCGAATGTTGAAAAAGCACTGACCAATCGCATCGAGGGACTGCAAGCAAATCGAAAGCGGACAAGCACATAGACAACAACAAAAAGTCAAAGACGCAACTTTGGGACTTTCCTGCAGCCATTTCTGGAGGTCGCGATCAGATGACTTACAGCGTCGAACGAGGCATCGCGTTGGAGCGAAGGACGATACTTTTCGCGCAGCATTTTGAACAGCGGAGCAGCATCGCGCTCAAGCGTGGCGAGCAGGAAATGGCAAAAGTTCAGCAGTGGCAGTCGGAATGGCGGATTCCTGATGGAAGGGTGCTGGGCAGTGAAAGTGCGGAAGAGGACATTGGCATCGCGAAGGTTGCCCAGTTCGAGGTATCTGCACACAGCAGCAGCACCACCAACAACAAAAAAGGGGTCAGCAATCTGGCCGTGCACTCGCCATCAAGACGAATGCGAAAACCGTCATGCGTACTTGAGCACGGCTCGGGTGATAAACAACTCGAGCTCAGAAGGGCTGCCTTTCTGAGACCATTCAAGAAGCATTTCGGCCAGCGAAAGCGCTGACGCCTCGGTGCCAAGCACAAGATGGCTTTCTGCCAGTTGATAGTTGTGCTCTGCGTCGTGATTTACAAAAAAAAAGCCAAAAACGAAAAACAACAAACCCCGCACAGGAGGAGCAAGCGGAAAGATTGAGCACATGCAACTAGAGCGACGAGATTCGAGAATAAGGTTGCAGTACCTCGCCAGAAAGCCGTCCCAAACAGATGATGGAGCGACGGATCTCCGCGCGTGTTGCGCCCAACGGCGGTCGACCACCTTCGCAAGCAAAAATGGACAATCGAGTGAGTGTCAACTACTTTTGTTGTTGTGCCTCTCAAAGGAATTCTTAATCCGAAAAACCCTGCCCACCACAAGCACGCTACTTTCAAGCATACTTCAAACTTTGGCGGACAAGCTTGTCTCTGGTTGCGTGATCTTCTTTGTAGCCGCTAAACAACTCGGCAATTCGCGCTGCCCAAAGTTCAGCCAATGAGTTGTTCTGGACAGACTGCAAGTCGAACCACACGGGCGCCAATAATCTAAAACCAACTCTAATCCACCATACCCAGCGACTTCTCGTCCAGGGGAGTGGGCTGGGCAGTGTACGCGTCGAGCATCAGCACGGCAAGGTCGCCAGCAGATCCCGTCTGGCCATGCTTGAAGAAGAGGGTGGAGCCAGTGTACACGAGCAGGATTGCACTGTCAAAGTCGTTCTGCGCAGCATAGCTAATACCACACAAACGCCAGCAGCGTGAGTGTGCATCCCTGGTGATCCAGTCAATTGATCGATTGAGCGAGAAGGGCTGGTTTTTTGGAGATTGGTTGTTCCGCTCAACGGTCTCTACGACCGCTTCCTCAACATCAGCTCGAGTGCATTCTTGTGGCTGTCTTTCATTGGAGACCGAGAGAGACTGATTCCGTTCCCAGCGTCCCGTTCCCAGGAGTTTCTTGACTGGCTTTCGAACAAAAGCACAAACCAACAACAAACGGCGAGATCTCAAACTCGAAACTCGGGTCGCCTCACTCCACGTCAGACCTGGTGAACATCGCCGTGGGCGCCGAGCATACGAGCAAAGACAAGAGCGCTCATCGAAATCGATCGAGATCCGGTGAGAGGAGGGAGGGGAAGAGACCTTACCGGGCGTAGACGCTTCGGTACATTTGGTGCGCTTCGTAATAGTCGCCAGCCTCAATCGACTTTTCAAGCTTGGCCAGCACGCGCGTCACTCCGCCTCGATCTGCCATGTCTTTGTGTGACTTGTTGTTGTTATGGACAAAATGAAGGAAAGAGAGAAAAACAGACGTCAACCAAACAGAAAACACAAAAGACGACTAACGCCGCCCGCTGTTTCATTTTCAGATTGGGTTGCAATCTGAGCTCAACATCCAGAATCATTTAGTATTTGCTGGCATCATCACCCGCAAGTCATGAACACTGGAGCGTGGGAGGGAATGATGCATTCAGAAGCACAAACACGGCAAATCACAGCAAAAAACAGCAAACTCACTTTTTCATCAGGCTACTACTTTTTTTACAAACACAATACAAACTATCACAACAAAAAGCGGCCGCAAAATCTCACTGCTGACGAAGGCGCGCCAAGCGATCCATCAGGTCTTGGTCAGCAGCTGACGGAGGGGTTTCGGCGCGTGGCAGAGTCGTGCTGCCAACGTATTTGGCCTTGTGCACCGAGTGCAAGTCTTCACGCGCCTTTTCGAGGTTGCGTTCCATTTGTAGGACCTTGGAACGAGCTTCCAGCTCCGCTGCGCGTTGAGCGGCAAGCGAGGAGGCAGACATGGCAGGAGCAGAATCCGCAGGCATCTGACTGATTGTCTGCTGAAGTTGAGCCGCACTCAGCTTGTCGCACACGTGCCGAACAGCTGCGCCGGCATCGTGCAGGCGCAGCTGAACAGCCTGGTTGGGGTTGCGAGTCGACCCTGCGAGCACTAGCTGCATGGTTGCGGCCGCCACCGCCCGTGCCGAAGCCGGCAAGTCCATGAGCGGACGGGTGCCATTGGAGAGACCTTCTGCCGCAGCCCGGAGCATGCTCGTGTACTCGGCCACCTCTCGAGCGGCGGACACCAGACCTTCCGACCAGACTCCCACCGCAAAGTAGGGCTGCGACATGGCACACGGGCCAATCGCACGTTGCGCCTCAATGGCGGCCGAAATCAGCTGCGTGACGCAGGTTCCAAGCTCGCCCGCACCTCCGAGCAACTC